TTTTTTTTTTGGTACTGGGGATGGAACTCCGGTCCTTGCGCTTGCGAGGCAAGTGGCGGAACCACTGAACTAAATCCCTGGCCCCTTAGTAGCTGTGTTTCTGTAAGTACAATTTACCACTTTCTTGGGCTTCGCTTTATACATTTTTCTGGAAATTTAAGTGCAGAGCTGCTTTCCATGTATTATTAAGTTGGGTTACTGAAGAGCAAGCAATACTGGGTTCACCTTCTGAGCACAAATTAAAGGCTCAATGTGGAAGTGAGAGGAGAAGATATAGAAAGTCGTATTTCTTTTTTTTTCTGAATTAGAGATTTATTTTTTAAGTACAAGTTCAGTTAGAGTGCAGAGACAAAAATTGTTGTCAAACATAAAAATATGAATTGAATCGCTTCTTTTTAGATGGATCGTTTGACTTGACCATAGATAGGGTCAGTGTCTGCAGGCGGAGCCACAGCAGGCGCCTCTCTGGAAGTGGGCCAGCCTCGTGAGCACTAGTAACCAGTAGCCGGGTCCACTTAGTTTAACTGTCCAGCCAAGGACCGACACCCAGTCAGCCCTTTATCCGATGCGGGGCCCGGAACTCCAGGGAGCGGAGTCCCAGCGGGACCACGCTGCTCCCAGCCCTCCGTGGGGCGTGGCCAGGCACCGAAAAGTCGGAAGTCGAGTTTCTACTCTTTTAGGTTTCTCAACCTTGTCTGTTTTTCTGTTAAAATATTCCAATTAGGAAGTTGTGTTTATCAGGTATTAAGAACTTAAAAATGTATTCTTTTAATTTTGAATCATTCCTTTTCATGAATAAGTGGACCAAGCCATGATTACATAGCCACAGCTTGCATATTTGCCACTTTCACAGACTAAACTCAACCCACTGTGCCCTGACCCAGCCTTGCAGATACACTATGCTCACCGCTGGGTAAATGGAGAGGGTGCCTTTCTGGAACTCTGAAAAGTGAGGACAAGGGCCATCTTTCCTTACTGCTGTTGGGAGACCTGCTCTACTTTAAGACACAGCTATGAGTGTGTCTCCAGAAAGGATAGTCAGCAAGGTTTTACAGCTGCCAAAACTAAACTACTAAGATGAAAAAAATGCCATCCCTTAAACTGGCAAAAATTATAGGTCTTAATGAGTTACTGTTATTTTTCGCAGCTTTCACTTTGCCATTGGCTCATAAGCTGCCCATTCTGTAACTACTAAAAGGGACTCCCTGAATTACATGACAAATGACAATGGCTTTGTCAAGATTATCTATAAAAGTTTCTGAATTGGAAAAAGAACCTGATATTCTATCATTTAGCAACTAATGAGGTATAAATTTCTTAACTTATGAAGAATATTATTTCTATAAAATATGCTAATTATATGAAAGTAAGGTTAAATTATTAGCAACAAAAAACAATGTCGGGAAAGGGAGGATAAGTAGCACATTATATAATTATTAACGAAACCATGGATTATTAATGAAAGCCATTGGAGTTGCTTACTTTCATGTACTTTGGTGAAATTTGTAATTAGATATTAAAAAGAAATCCTGTTGAACTTCTAGTAGCCTCAGATTTCTTCTCATTACAGCACTCTAAATAGCCACAATTAATACATCAGTTTTGGCTGAGAATCAAAGCTGTTTTATTATCTCTACTCTTATGCTCATGAGTTGTAAGAGTATGTGAAACCCCATATTGAACATTAGCATAATGACTTCAACATGTGTGACAACCATGCAGCCTTTATTGAGTTGTGCAGTTGACTTTGGAAAAGAATGAATAAGAATTCATTTTTAGGTCAAAGCAATTTTGAGAGGAACTGAATATTCTTAGTTTATTTTTCTTTTCTTTTTAAGGTATTTATTTATTTATTTTTGGTACTGGGGATCGAACTTGGGACCTTGTGCTTGCAAGGCAGGCGGCAGAACCAGAGTTAAATCCCCCACCCCGAGTGTATCTAGTTTTTAACTTTTTATAAATTTATATTTTTGAAGTTTCCTTCACCAGAATGGGATACGGTAACTCCTGAAGCCAAAGACCTCATCAACAAAATGCTTACCATCAACCCTGCCAAACGTATCACAGCCTCAGAGGCCCTGAAACACCCATGGATCTGTGTAAGTAATCCTTCAAAAACCACACAACATAGAATGAAAAATAAACTCTTCTTTAATATTGATTTCATAGATTTAAAGTAATTCTTCCAAATAATATGAAACTCAGAATGAATGCATTTTGGATATATTGTATTTAAGGACGTGAATGTTATTATGATGAAAAACATCATTTTGTGTAGCAAAGTGTGATCTACATGGACTGCTAAGTAAATATTATCTATAATAATACAAGGAATGAGAATTCCCCATATCAATTATTGATAGACTTATGAGCAGAGGTTAGGATAATAACATTAAGATTGAATGCGTCCCAGAAAAAAAAGTAAAGTTCAATTATTTATCAGTAGGCAGCTTTAGAAACATTTATGAGATTTGAAAGCTCATTGTAGAGCAGCATAAATGGTTGACCACAAACAGTCTGAATATACTTTAGAAGGACTAAGAGAAAAAGTAGGAAACTTGGGAGAAATCTAAAAACTTTAGTAAATTTATAAGAGTGAGTGTCAAATGTTAGGGCAATAAATATAGTGTCAAGTAAATGAATGGTAGTTCAATAGAATTTTGACTAAAGATTTATTGCAGTAAAGATAATTAGAGGAATTAGTGGTATTATTTCCATACTTTTGTGCTGAAATACAGAGATCTGATGAAGTCGAGGATGCTGTTATGCTTAGCATGTTTCAGATATCCTCAATTAAGCCCCTTTTTTCTTTTTTTCTTCCAGCAACGTTCTACTGTTGCTTCCATGATGCACAGACAGGAGACTGTTGATTGCTTGAAGAAATTTAATGCTAGACGGAAACTAAAGGTAACAAAGTTTACATTTTTGAGGGGAGGTAGATTTGGCAGGGTGAAAAGCAAACCATTGTTCTCAGAATTTTAACAAAAGCTTTTCAATGTGTATATCTCGGTACTCTATTTTTCCATTAAGTTTATTGGTACATTTTAGGTATACAATACAGTTACATTCATCATTGGGATCTTGTACCTCTATATGATGTATCTTGGTTCTTATTTTTGCCCCATTCCCCTGCTCTCCCTTCACCCCCTCCACCCTTCTCATATTTTTTGTTTTTTCCCTTCTTTCCTTTCCCCTACCTCTCCCACTTCCCCTACTCCTTTAGACCTTTTCTTCCTATTTCACATTATCAATTATACATTTTGATCCTTATTTACACTTAGTTTTTCACACCAGAGAAACTGTTTGGTACTTACACATGTGTGTCCTGTGTATTTCACTTAAAAGTATGGCCTCAATGTGCTATAAATCCATTTAGCTATAAATATCTCTAGTTTCTGGTTCTTTATGGCTGAGTAGTACTCCATTTTATTAAAAAACCACATCTTCTTTATCCATTTTCCAATTGAAGGGCATTTGGGCTGCTTCCAAGCTTTAGCTATTACCAACTGTACCGCTATAAACATGGGTGCACATATATCGCTGTGGTATGATTCTTTTAATTCTTTTGGGAAGATGCCCAGCATTAGCCACAGCAATTAGACAAGAGAAAGAAATAAAAGGAATAAAGATAGGAAAGGAAGAAGTTAAACTGTCATTATTAGCTGATGACATGATACTCTACATAGAAGACCCAAAAAACTCCACCAAAAGACTTCTGAAAGACTTAATTCTCAGTACTCTTATTAGTCTTTTACTGGGTCTTGGAGAAATGGAATATGCATCATAATCCAACCTGCAACTTGAAGTTCTGGTCAATGTGGCAGCACGTGCTATGCAGTAGAAAACAGCTGTGCAATTTTGGAACCTGAATCTGGCCCACACATGAAGAGTACCCCAAAGTCCTGAGAGACATAGGCCTAGGACTCTGAGGAAACCAAACTACAGAAATAATCAAAAGTCCCCTTACTGAAAACTGAGGGAACATTACTGATCCAAGACTGTATTTGTAAGGTCAAAGATTTGCAAAGACAAGATTGATTTTGTTCTTATTTCTTTCTTTGACAGGGTGCCATTTTGACAACCATGCTGGCCACAAGGAATTTTTCAGGTACATATATTAAGAACTCTGCTCCTGTTCTGAGTACAGTTCCTTCATAGTTTTTTTTTTTTTCTGTATTTTTGTAATTAAAAAAATCCAACTAGGAAAGTTCTGTTGTTCAGGGATGACAATAGGTCACAGATTCTTTCCACTCCTCTGGCGACCATTAATTCTTCTCCTAAGTACTGTCTCCCACAGAGCCTCCTCAGACTGCAACCTCACACCAAGGCTTGGCAGTGCTGGCCAGTACCAGTGCTGGTGCCAGACCAGATACCCACTTAAACGGAGCAGGTGCAGAAGAGGTGGGGCTATGTGTTCCCTCAATTTGAAACTCAGCATTTCAAACCTAAAACTTATTGATATTTCATGAAGTAGTAACTATGAGTAAGTTCTTTTGGTCTCATTCTCACAGGAGTTCCAATAAGTAAGATGGTTAAAGGAAGACCTTTATTGGGGCACCCACTACTCTTAGGCCCAAGTTCTTTTGAAAGCACAATAGAATCTTGGCATGCTGTAAGAATGGTTAGAGCTGCAGAGATGTGTAACTCAAAAACTTACACAGAACCTAACACACAGTATATCACAGGATAATAAACACTCCTCAAAACAAATTCCAGGGTAAAATGTTTGTTACGGGCTCAAAGAAGTCAGTTTCTTCATTGTAAAAGTAACTCTCCAAAATGGATATAAGGTATACATTATTTCCAGAAAATATTTGAGTTCTGAAGCTCCCTTCTCGGATAAATTATATCAAAGTACCAATGATCTATAGCATCAGTCTATCCAGCTATTTTTTCAATTCTGAATTTTGTCAGCCTAAATAGTATAGTGATAACAGATGATGATTCATTGTATGAACCAATTTTCAGTTAGAACTTACAGCTGTATTAAATGGTCACTTTTTACCTCCTTTCCATTTTAGAGATAATATGAACACCATAGGCTGTTTAACAATAACAACAACAACAACAACAATAATAGTACAATGAGCAGGGCTGCAAATTAAGTGACTGTGTTGGTCAGTTGATGTATTTTGTCCAATATGTTTAATGTGATAAAACGTCCTTACTACTTTTGTCAAGTTACCTGTTTTGTAGACACTTGATTAATGTGAATGTCATTTACATGGGTGAGTTCAATGCCATCTCATTAAGTATTAACTAATAATACTGTATATTTTAAAAATGAGTCTTTCACCATGGCCCAGTAACTAGCAAATCACTAAAAGGTAGGGTGATTTATATATAGGTTATATTGTTAATGGCAAACTGTTTTATAACTCCAGAAATAAAATTGTGTGTTATGTTAAGGTATTAAATATACTCTTAAGACATAAATTGGGCCTTTATTAATTAATGTTTATACCTATATATGGAAGATTTTCAGTTACCTCACATTTTCCTTCCATCATCCCATAAACTTAAGAACTCATGACTAATATGTAGATTTTACATCATTTCTGAATGTCTTAGCATGAAAAGCAAACTTTTTAAATTCATCGCTTCACAAACAAATGAATAACCTTAGTCAGTGACATCGTGTACTTATATTGCATTTTAGTTTTGAGCATTTGACTCATCTTATTTCATTGCCAAACATGCTTTTAAACGTAATCTGTCCATAAGTATATGGTTATAAAGTTGTTTTTATTTGTTTCTTTTCTCCCTGTGTGTGGAATGTATTTCTTGTGAGGTAAGGTGAACAGTAATAAAAAGGGCTATTTCTGCATCTCCCGGGCCAAATTGCTGCTTACCCTAAATTGTTGTCTTCTCTTTGCTTGCTGTTGCAACCCCAGTTATTCTGAGTTCGCTTTCTATGCTCTTAACTGTCGCAGAATGTGCTTCATATTGCTGTTCAGCACCAGGCTAACAGTATTTGCCAAGATTAGCAAAAGCAACTATTTCTTAACACACACAATTGATTATAAATTGCTATTGTTGCTAAAGACTAAATAAAACTAACAATTTTATATCTTTAAAGAAATTTTAAATTATATCAAAGCGACAATCAAGATAACGTCCCAAATCTAAAGGATATTAGGAAATTACATGCTCATGGAGTTTTATGATACCTAAGTATTTCCACCAGAGATGTCAAGTTCTGTGCTGATGTACTTAAATATGAGACCTGATCAACACTAAATGGAAGTGCATACTTTGTCCTACATATTCATGAATGTTCTACACCTAATATACTGTGAGGTTTTGTTTTGTTTTGGTTTTTTTTTTTGGTACCGGGGATTGAACTCGGGGCCTTGTGCTTACAAGGCAGGTGCTGGAACCACTAAGCTAAATCCCTGGCCCTACACCTGATATACTAATAGTCATTGATGGTTACATTTATTTACTGCCTTTGTACCTATTCATAAGTATACTTTTTAAAAGGATGACTTCACCTTTTAATATACTCAAACATGACAAACTCCCTCCCTACAAAAAATAAAGGTACATATAACACTTTAAGAGTTTCCTGATTTAAAGGTTTTATTTTGTTTTATATTTTGGTTCAAATTTTGTGATTTTTTAGGGGTTTTTTTTGGTACCTGGGATTGAACTCAGGACTGCAAGACAGGACCTGTGAGGCAGGCAGCGGCGCCACTGAGCTAAATCCCTGGCCCTTTAGTTTTTTAATTTAAAGATTTTTAAGAAGCCTTTGTATTCTGATTTTGAAGTTCAAATGATGTGTAATGCCATTTTTAAAGGTCATATGCTATGCATTTAAAAAATTTGCTCTAGGTCAATAATATACCATTTTGTTTTCAACACAATTATTAATATTCTGTTTTTTGAAAAATGGAAACTGTCTGATTTCAAAAATATACAGAAGATTTTATTTAGCCAGAGAAAATTTTTACAAATGAGTTTTCAACCTCTAGAGAGAGGGGCTTCAGGGGAGGAACTGACATCACCATGGACTTGTGGTGTGAATGAACATGCGGTCCTATTTGTCAGCTGATGTCTCAAGACTAAAAATAACTTTCTGGATTACAAAAAGATAGTCCAGTTAAAGTTCCAGTATCCTTTTCACAACCAACAGTGAAATAAAGTTCAGTAACCCAACTGGCAAAGTATGCAATTTTATGCAATGAACTACATAAGAATAGTTCAAATTTGTTTGTGGCAAAACCAGAAAAGTGATACTGTATTTCAGAGTCTTATAAGCTCACGCTCATCAGTGTGACCTTGATAACTTGGCGTATGTTATCTATAACTCAGCACAGATGGTCAAAGAGACAGTAGTTATGTTGCCTACCTATGGGTTTCAGTGAGTGACTCACTAAACTGATTTTACTTTCATTTTGCAGCAGCAAAGAGTTTGTTGAAGAAACCAGATGGAGTAAAGGTAAGTTAAGTGAGTGTTCTTAAACCATATCTGACTTTCAAATGCTGCATAATTGTAAAATGTTAAATTCAAGCCCCATATCTTTGCACCTTGTATTTTTATAATTCTTTATAAAAGATGCAGGTTGAAATGTGAAATAATTCATCACACAAAGATGAATAATATATACGAGTATACTAAGAAAAGCTGTACCTTTTCAATTTGATTATATATTAAATAACCTTGAAAAATTAATATTTATATATGGAATTCCACTATAAACTGGATGTCTAAATCCTCACTGCTTTACTACAGTTTTGAACTGTCATGGTGATCTGAAAAATCCATGAAAACCAAGTCCTTTCCCAAAAATTATGATGTGTACTTGCAGGCCACCAAAGTGCCTTATAGTCTGGGAAAAAACCTCAGTGGGTCTGAGAAATCCAACATAAGATGACAAAACTCTGCTTGGGCAGCTTTTGTAGAGGTCTAAATTGTTCTGTATGTTTCTATTGTAAGATTTAAAAACAGATTTGAATTGCATCCTCTGAAAAAAATATTAGAAAAATTTCCAAGAAAAATAGGATATTTTGATTTAATTTTTTTATATTTCTAATCAAAATAATATAACTGTATTTGTTTCAAGAGAGTTTACTTGTGATGGAATATAACCATGTATGTGCATAATAATATCTATTCTCTTTTTAAAGTATCATAAAAATGTCTTATTTTTTAATCCTATTATTTCTCTTCCAATAGCAGATGCATGCATTCCTTATCAACACTTCAGCATTCTGGGAATTAATAGTTTAACATTTGAACTTGACTCAAAGTCAAGTGGTCAGTTCATTCTGAAAATATAGCATAGAAAATCATTTGTCACCCCTTATGTTCATATCCCATCATTTCTCTACCACCTGTCTATGTGTGATTTGGGAATTTCCAGAGCCATGGTGACCATGCATTTGTGATCCTATCAGGAAGGCATTTCTGTATACCACTTCCTTCCTCAACCTGTAATCATATCTTCCTTCTGCTTATTTTTGGACTTTGGATTTCAATAATGACAGTTAATATTTGCCTTTTTCTCAATGTTACATTGGTAGAAATGTGGTATTTTAAATTTTCCATGTTTTTTTCTGTACCATTCAGTGATAGAGAACTCAGAGTTTTTGATGGAGATGTTGATTTTTACTATTACCCTTACAGAGAAAGAAATATTTTCAGAACTTTTTTCTTTTAGCAAACTTATCTCTCCTCTTCAAAAGCAAAATTATTCTGTACTCCGTGCTTTAAATTCAACTGGTCATTTTTTTTTCTTTTCCTTTCTCTTTGACTGGTCAATTCAGAAAAGGAAGTCCAGTTCGAGTGTTCAGATGATGGTGAGGATCTCTCTCTGCAAAATTTCTTCTCAAAAATTCACACATAGAAATAAAACATTCATATTTACCTAAGTTAGTGTAAATGAGAGAGTAGACTTATTACAGGATAGTAATCATAACCTGTCAAAATGGAGTAGTCCACTTTCACATTATATTGATTTTCTCTGAAATTGAATTTTTTAAACATGGAAGAAGTTAACTCTTCATCCATATCCTGTTAATGAGTTTGACCTTCCATATGGCCAAAGTCCAGTTTCTTCTTTGAAAATAAAGAGAACATGACATGATTAATGAATGCTTACTGATAACTGATAACACTGTAGGGTTTTTAAGTGATGATCATGATTGCTAAAATAGGAGCTCAGACTATAATACATTCACTACAAAGTTTACAAATAATGTGAAAATGATCTTATTGTAGACCTATCCTAAAAGAAAAGAAATATGTTTTAACCTCAGCCCTTAATAAATTCAGTACCCAAGAAATAGGGATACCTCACCTATGCCTCATAAAAATAATTCAGTGTATCATTTAAATATCTGATTCAATTCAGATCTTAGGGAAAAATATTATGTGTCCATATGTAAAAAAAAAAATTACATTCACTTGTATGTTTAAAAAAGAACAGCATGGTTGAACATAGGCTGATATTTGACTCTTTGAAAAGAAGATCTAGTTTTTTACTTAGAATTTTTTCTATTATCTATAATTAATTGATATTAGAAATACCTCTAACATATTTCCCATAGTAAAAACAAAGAAACTAAAGATCATTAAGCTAATTTAACTCATGCCTGTTATACCTGACACTAAAGAATTGTTTACTTGGACAGAATGGCCTTCATTTGAGAGAGATGGTGGTATGGATACCCTGTGAAGAATCTATGTGTGAATGTGGGAGAGAGGACATGTGTGTGCTTGTGCATATAAGTATGTGTGCATAGGTATGCATATGAGACCTTTTCACTAAAATAAAGCAGTGTTTAGCAAGCACATCTTAGGCAAAAAAATCAATCTTATCTTGAAACAGAATAAACATATGAGAAAATTTCTGTCATTTGAATTCACTAATATAAATTAAATATAGCATTTTAAATACATGTGACACTTTCATCATAAGTGCCCCTGATCATTTAATGAGAAGCCAGCTATGGTTTTCCAAGCACACTTCCTGAATAGTTATTTGTTTGTATCCCTCCCCTTTTCTCATGTGTCCTACACTGACCTAAATACATTTCGATCTCTCTTTAATAGACACTATTACCTCTTTTCTATATCTCTTTTTTAACTCTTGTACAAATTTCGTGTTAAGTTCTTTGCACTTTAAGAAAAAATTTTCTAAAAATACCTGCAAACTATAGATTGATAGTGTAATATGTAATGAATTTTGCAAAGAAGGAAAATTTAAGTTTCCTGCATGCCACACAGCAATGTTATAGCTTGTTTGAATAATGCTGATCCCAGTAACCACAAAAATGTGAATGAATAGAAAAGAAAAACACTACATGCCTAAATTAACTTCTGCTACCTCTTCTTCTCAGTCCTAATTCCAATATAACCTATAGCCATAAAGTACAAAGTTTCTGGAAAGCCCAAACAACTGTATAATCATCTCTTTTATGCTGTATGTGTTTCTCTTTAATTCTTTAAGTACATTTATACATTCATTAAAATTGTGGGGTATATTCCTTTAGAAAATAATGTATAATGAAAATACCTTGATAATATAAGAAAATGAATATAGTTTATATTTCTCTTTGATAACTATAATGTAATATGTTGTGCATGAGTTTAAGAGAATGTTGATTCTTACTTTTTAGTCTTTGATTCTTGAGAGCCCAAACTCAATTATAGTTTCAAGTCACTACTTTTCTGTGTGCCATTATAAAATTTACTGCCCTTTGAGTTTCTGTCAAAACATTGCTTCCACAGTAGCAAAGGGAACTTCTTGATTGTTAAAGCCAATTGTGTAAATGTGAGGAAATGATATTACCAAATATATTCTTCGATTATAACATAACACTTCGACAGAAAATGAAGTGTTCTCTCAAACAGTTTTGAACAATTTTATATTCAACATATAGTAAAGACTTTTATTTTCCCACTAATAATTGATATATTTTTAGAGGAGACCCAGATTTACCACTTTGAGAAAAATATTTTGACACCTGCATTTTGTCTCAAGATGTAAATTTTTAATTGGAGTGTCTAGTAAACAAAGTCATGGTGGCTCTCCAGAGAAAGATGATTTGTGTGTGACTTCAGGCTCAATAATAAAATGATAATTTAAAAAAGGAATATATTTATAGCAGTGAAGCTTGGAGACAGAATCCAACTTGAAGAGCATGAAAATGGTTATACTCATTTTATTCTCTGAAACTCTATTTGAGCTTCATGGAAGCAGCATTTTGTCTGCTTCCTAAGGTGGCACAGCCAAAGCAGCCATGTCTGTTTTATCATTGCACCATCATAGACAAGGTTCAGGGCTGTGTGTGACCTTCAGAGGCTGGAAGTGGCACCCTTGCTGTCTGTCATCACCCTGTCCTTCCCGTTCATCTTCAGGGCTCTTTATTTTCATGGCTGTATCTCTATGTAGACATGCTACATATGGAGACATTGGCTACCAAGGGGTTTAAGGTGTTTCTTTCTATTTTCTGCATACCCACAGATAAACAACAAAGCCAACGTGGTAACCAGCCCCAAAGAAAATATTCCTACCCCGGCGCTGGTATACCTGGACTCTTTGTAACCCTTCTTAAGTTCTTTACTGTTTTTCTTTTGTTGTTTCTTTCATTTGCTTTTACTGTATATCTATCTATCTATCTATCTATATAAACTATTTTCTTGGGGTTTTTTGCTGTTAAGATATGAAAAAAAGTTCATTTCTTTTTTTTTCTTTTCGTTAAGATGGCTGTCAAGTAGTGTGTTTCTAACATAAGATTATCTCATTTCATTGTTGAGCGTTGTTCTGGTCTCTGTAACTGAGATTGTTGCATGCTGCCTTAGAAATACAGTAGAATGTGCTTTGGTCGCTCTTAGCTCTTCTGATGACGCTAGCTTTTGTGCACACAATGGTTTCTTCTTCCCATGCCACAAACGTTGGCATTGAGTAGAGCTAACAGGATTATTGCTAGACCACATAAACCTAGACCTTATTCAAAGTTCCTGTTTTCTAACTGAAAGACAACATGGCTTTGTAAGATCTCACTGAGATAAAGAGGCATTGGGTAATTTAAAGCTTTTTTGTTGTTGTTGTGTTTTGAATTAAACTGTCACTTTCACATTAATCCAAAGAATAAAAAGTGCATAGATTAGAATTACCAGTGGAAACTAGTTTTGTTCATTTCACTCAAATTCACACAATTCACTAAATCAGTTTGACACCTTGAAATGGTGTTATGTTCAAATTCAAAATTTGACTACTGTCACTTGCTCTGAGTTCCATAATATTTTCCACAAACTGTTCCATATTTTAATTTATGATTTTCATAAATGTTTCTGAATTTCTCCTTTCCCTGTACTATTATTTTAAATAAATAGAAAATGTTGGGGGATTATTTCCCTTGGATTAACCAGTAGGCTCAATTTAAAAACATTTAAAGGAAGGATACTTCAAGATAGCAGGTTATCAGGGCTGGGGAGTATCTCAGTGATTATATACTGGGCAGCTTTTTCTTACAGGCACAAAATACCTGACACCCACAACTTAAAGGAAGAGAGGTTTATTTGGCTCACAATTTCAGAGGTTTCAGTCCATAGTCAACTGGCTTCAAGGTACAAGTATCATAGCAGAGAATTGTGGCAGAGAAAAACTGTTCAACTCTTGGTGGCCAGAAGCAGAGGGATAGGAAGGGTCAGGGGACAAGAATACACCATTCCAGGTCATGCCCACAGTGATGCATCTCTTCCAGGCAAGCTCCACTTGTAACATACTCATTTATGGATTCATCAATGGATTAATCCACTCATGAGCAGCACCCCTATGATCCAATCACCTTCCAAAAACCCTACCTCTGAACACATGAGAATGTGGGGGGACATTTTAGATCTAAACCATAGCAGTGGTTGAATAATTGCCCGCCAGGTGCAGATTCCTGGGTTTGTCCCCACAGCCACAAAAAATAAAAACAGTGTTGATCCCAGCTTAGTCAGGGAAGGAAGAAGAGAAGCAATAGATATAGTCAGTGTGTGCTGTAAACCATTGTGGTAGGAAAGTGCCTGTATTGGGAGAGGACTCTCTGTAGTTGGCAGTAACTCCCAGTTGCCAGGACATTGTGCAATGAAAGTGCCAAGCCGGGAATTGATGTATGAACATTGAGTCTTTTTTTCTATCAGTTATTTGAATATTATTTTCCAGTTGACAATATTGTTTTGATTTTCTGATAGAAAGCAACAGGAAAAATAATATTTTCATCATGGAAAAACTTGACTTAATCAATTATTCTATATATAAAATCCATAAAGTAAGAAAATTTTAGAAATGAATTAAAGCAGGATTTAGTAGCAACATGTTTCTGATTATAGTGGTTGTATGATTAGTTATAGAACCTTGTAAATGAACCATTTAATAAATATTCCTTAGAATTTCTCATGAACTTTTGGAGTAAATTCTTTAGTATAGACATTTTTTAAATGTCCAGCATTTCTAGATTTTTCCAAGAATATTCAGCTATGTGTTAAGTATAATGGCACCATAATCAATTCTCAGAGCAACACAGCTAAAAAATATCTCCTAGAGAATTGAAAATCTTGTCAAAGATTATCTCCAGTGTCCTTGTCTAGTTTTCTATGTGACAGACATTAATAGGCCACTCATTAAAGAAGAAAGGCAAGCACTGTCTGGCATAGGATGTGGTGAAACAGTGAGTGCCTCTTTAGGTCTCCCAGCTTCAAAGCCTTGTCTGTATCCCGATCAGGAATAAGGTCTTTTGCATGCTGCTTCTGGGTAGGGAGGTGCCCTACCTCATGGGCCCACCAGGGAGAGCTTTCATCAGAGATCTTGTCAGCTGCAGCATCTGGCAGCAGCTAACATGGCTTTAGCTCTTGTCACTCTTTCGTTTTGTCAGTTGATTCACTCTGCTCTATCCCTCCAACTAGTAAGAATGTATTTACCAATGCAAACTGTTTCTTTCTCTATTTTGTTCTCACTCAGGAGCCCCAAACTACTGTAATCCACAACCCTGATGGAAACAAGGTATTCAGAAAGAATCAACATCATCTGGCTTTCACAAGATTACACATCTCATCAAATAATCAAAATTGGTTCATTATCTAAAACTAGAAAAGAAAATCTGGACCTTTTTTCTACTGTACTTTCTTTTCGGCCTAATTGGTCTAAAACCATGCACAGACTTCTTTCAATTAAAAATAAATGACAGCCTAAAAGAGAAATGAATAATACCTTAGTCAATAAAAAGTAAAAGTCAGTTTAAACATTTACAAAGTCTTTATGTCAAGATGACTGTGTATCTTAAGCAATTTCATCTGGTCTTTTCTTTTTCCCATGTCTCCTTCTGCATTGTACTGTGGATCTATATACTGCTTGAAATCTTAGAATTTCTTGCTGTCATTCCATTGTCTTCAGAACTATCAACTTACATTCATAGGTTTTTGTTTATATTTAATTTTTTTTTAGTTTTATTCTATTTTGTTGCCATAGTGGGTTTTTTTGTGTTGTTGTTGTTGTTGAGTTCTTTGTTGTGGACCATGTTGTTGTTTGACATAAATTTAAAGAGAATCAGTTTCCCTTTTTGTGAAATATGTTTGTCATTGTTGAGTTGTATGCATTTCAGTAACAGATTTTCTAACTACTTATGCTGAATGAAGACTAATATGTTCTACCCATCGTAAATTATTTGTATAGCTTGTTAACTAAATAACAGCACTTGCATACATGTCTGTAGGATGGAAGGAGACATTTTATGAATGTATTCCATGTTTCCAGTTCATTACTTTTTATACATTATTTATTTCTAAGGAAAGGCAAAATACATCATCCAACTTTTCTCAAATATTTAGTATAGTTATGGGTCTTCTCCTTACTTGTATCAACGATGTTGAAGGCTTAGAAAACATTTCCTCTCTATTTTAATGGTTAGCTGATCAATATTAAAATCATTAAAGTAAAAAAATGGGAAATGTTGTGTTTTTAAGATGAGATATATTCAATAGTCATAACACTGGAAATATTCTATATCCCTAAAAGACTTGATAGTCAGTAGCATCACATATGAGAATAATTTTTTAATAGGATTAGCAAATGAAAGACCAAGCACAACAGTGGAGTGAACCCTTCCATAGTTCTAGCTATACCATTTGTAAGAGATGCATGGTATTTCTTGCTTACATGAATTAGTTTATTTTTACAGTGCATGGGTTTACCTTCATTTTGAATTTAAATCTGAACACTACATCACATTGAGAAATGCATGAAGACGTTTCTTTGGCTATGTAGGAGAACTCTGGATCCATGTTTATTACTTTGGTTTAAAGATTGTATATGATACTTATATAAATTTATCACTTTTTAAAATATTTAATCTATAAAAGGACACAGACTAGTATTTGAATCACTTTCCAAAATCTGTTTTTCATCACTGTTCATGTAGCTGTTAATTGGAGGTTTGTTTCCAATTATTTTCAGCCCTAGCCTTTAATCATTCCAATTAGAATATTGTGTCTTTCTTATGAATAGTGAAAAATTTCTTTGCCAAAAAATATCTTAGTACATTTTAATGGAAATATTTATCAAATCATTTTAAGAATATATTTAATATGGACAATTACAGTGTACTTTTCAGTGTGCTTACTAATCTTCAACTTCATTTGTAGTTTTACAAAGAAAGCTTTTCGTTATGGGAGACAGTCTCTTATCAATAACAGACAGTTTCTAGTTGAGAAAAGATTGGAAAAATCTAATTGTCCCTGAAAAGTAAATTATTTATTGTAATCCCATTGTGTTGATCATAAATATGAAAAAAATTCTTCTTATAGCTATTTTCAGCCTTTCTAAGCTTAATTCTTTAGCTACTTCATTAAATGATACAATGAATGCTTTCTTCTATTTACAAAGGAGTAAGGTGGATAGATAGACTGAAAGTTCAGCGTTTGACAATAGTGCCTGACACAGAAGGTGCTATTTACTTATTGATAAATTGGAAATAAAAATTGTTCTATTTAAGATTCAAATTCATGTGAATAATGTACTCAATTTTTCATTTAAAAAACACAAAAAGCACACCTTTTGAGGCACTGTAACACAAAGACACCTTTATACAGTTCGGAAAATAAATTGCGTATTTCTGCCACTTCTACAACTCACCTGGACTTATACTGCTTTGGATATTAGGCAACCAGAGTACTCCCTTTTTGAAATGTTTACAGCATTTGACATTTTATTCTGTTAAAAACCACTTAGTGTATTTTTCCATTTGCATGTCAACATATGCACACAGCCTGCTCAAGAATTTTGCATGATATGTAAATCACTAGCCAATTTTTTAAGAAGCCAAGCTATTCACTGTCTGTAACTTAAAAATGTGTTTTCTTCTCAACAGGAGTCAACAGAGAGTTCAAATACAACAATTGAGGATGAAGATATAAAAGGTATGATTGAATCAGAGATGAAAAATCCTAACTCACAATCCATATATACCAGGAAAAAAACCCAAAATACACACTTTGGGCATGTCGTGAAACATGTTTAGAAAATAATTTATATTCAAGGATATAGTATGAAAATAACATTTTTTAAACTTTTGATGGTCTCAAGTGGGGATCAATGGAATTTTGTATTTGGTAGCCTTTTTATCCTTTCTTCCTGTGATTTCCAAATGCATTCTTAACCACCATTCATTTTGGTTGTCAAAGTGTTTTTAGCTACTGACATTTCAATTGCTCTGTACAAACAGACCAAACACATATTTGCAGTTGCCTTACTTCCTTTTGGCCACATTGCAGTTTTATTTCATTTTTATAATTCAGTGTATGTAACTACAGCATCTACAGGCCTGTGTCTTGAAGCTATTCTGAAAAAATATGATAACAATAAACAGATTTAAAGTAGAAATCTTAAAAGATTATAAAGAAAATTGAAAGATGGATCTATCATTTAATTAGGCCTTATCTGGAAAGATTATTTACCTAATGGTATCATCCAGCTCTAATTCTCTAGGTGGTATTAGGAAAACATACTCTTTGAAAGCTGTGTTCATGTTATAGTCAAGAACTAGGAATCTAGGGCCAGGGATTTAGCTCAGTGGCGCTGTGCCTGCCTCACAAGCACAAGGTCCTGAGTTCAATCCCTGGTACTGGAAAAAAAATAAAGAACTAGGAAACTCTTGCCTCAAGGAGGCATAGGGACAGTTTAAGAAATAAAACTGGCTGTAGACCACAAATTGCTAGTCATCTCTGCTGACTTTTTCCCTTCTGGTTGAATAGAACAGCTGATGAGATTAAAGTATGCTCTATTTATATTAGTAGCATACTGAACTGACTGCTAGAGGTAGCCAGACATTGTTTTTTACAGAGCAAAGGTGGATAGCTGTGTGGAGGATTTTATTTAGTAGATCTGTTCATCTCACTTCTACCCATGAGCTAAAATTTGAACTGAAGTAATGGTATTAATCACTGATGCTAGTTACATTAGATAAGGAGATTATTTTAACCACATAAACAGATGCGCTATTTAGCTCTCACAGTGATTCAGGAAGAACCATCTTTATAAGCGTTTTGGATCTGTTACCTCTTTCAACTAAGCAAATATTTCCTATGATTGTTTTTATATTCTTCCTTGATGAAGGTTTTATTATCTAGTGGAGAAAGTAAATCTTTATATAACTAAATAAGATTAGGAGAATACTAACATCTTGCTACATTCAGCTCATTCACTACGGGATATCATTATTCCTTAGTGATTATGACCAGGGTTGTAATTATTTATTTATTACATAAATAGTGTTAAAAAGAGACCCTCACTGTGTGTGGTGATGCATGCCTATAATTTCAGTTACTCTGGAGGTTGAAGGAGGAGGATTGAAAATTTGACTCCAGCCTGGGAAACTTAGTGGAATCCTGTCTCAAAATAAAATAAAAAGGCTGGGGATATAGCTAGGCGTTCCCTGTATTCAATCCCTGTGCAACAAAAAAAGGGAAAAAAAGTTCCTCTGGGATGTCACGAGGGAAGCAGTGTTTGTCTCTATAATTGTGCTGAGTGTACGTACACTAAGTATTTAGGGAAAGTTAACATAATGATGAGAGAAAAAAAAAAGTCCAGATATATTGAGCCCAAGGTATTTTGACTTATTTATCTAAACCTAATAAGTAAATTAAATTTCTGCTTAATTTTACTAGTGTGTTTATGGCCACAGAGGCATAGATATAGCATCTTAGGCCTCGTTTTGTTGTCTGTAAGACTCATGCATATAGGGTTTGTTAGCTAATACTGAATCATGTCAGAAATTTGTAAGACTAAATGATGCTTTGAAAAATCCCCCAGCCCATCATTCTATCAGGAAGATGGTATGTGAAATGATGATGAATGTTTTTAATGTATTTATTGTCCAAGTAATAAGCTTGTACAGGAGTCTCTCCATTTATCAACCCACAATCCTCAAGAAAGACGCTGTTTATTTATGTATTTTTGCTACCAGGGATCAAACTCGGGACCTGGAGCTTGCAAGGCAGGCGCTGGAACCGCTGAGCTAAATCCCCGGCCCCAAGAAAGACTTTAAAATAGTTCTGCATTTGAAAGATGATGCTCTCTTCCTTTGCCTTAGAATTTGTCACCGCTCTGGGGAGCTTAGTAGAAAATGTGCTTATTGTCCAGCTCTGTTAGAACAGAAATTTACATACATTAACATCTAAGAGCTCACAAAGACTGTCAGTCATATAACCCAACTTCTTCTGTATAACGCCATGTCATATCCACAAAAGTACATCTCTTCCTTCCACACATATACTCTCTGGCCTTGTCCTTTTCATATACAGCTTTGGTATTGCTGTGAAACACCGCACTTTTAAACAGCTCTTTCAGGCATGTTTCAGTAGCTCCCCTGTGTGCTGACACAGCTCTGCCTGTACCTGCTGCTTTCTCCTGTGGAGGGTGTCTAACACCAGCATCTAGAACCTTGTCTCATGGTGGCACATGATCTCATGAATACCATATCATAGGCTTCCCATGCTAATCCCCAATCTCGAAGAACTCCTCCGCAGTGACACCTTCTGTGTTCTCCCCACTGGGGTGTGAGGGAATGGGTGGGGCTTAACACACACAGTGACCTAGTCAGAGGAAGAAATGAGGTAGACCAGCAGTACAGTTCCTTCTCCTTGCCTCTCTGGGGGAGAAGGAAGACACAGACAGGACAGGCCTCCTGTTCTTAAAGAAAGAAGCAGAAGTAGGACATACATAAAGGGTGCTTCACAATCAGGAGAATCAGGGATGCTCTAGAAAGCCACGATTTGGAGGAGCCTCATTTTCCTTTACACTGCTTATTACTCTACATTCAGAATGGCCTAGAGTTCTCTGAGGCCCCAGTCTGGGTTACTTTTGAACCATGTCTAGGCTCTCAGATGCTTCATCCATTTGGCAAATACTTACGGAAGGCCTACTGTTTGCTTGAGCTCCACCTATTATTTTTTGTGTCATAGTCAAGAGGTTGCAAAGACTCAGAATCAAAACATTTTTATGTAAGCTTTCCATGGATCATTTTTATTATAATTTAGGCCCATTTCTCTTATTTAATTCAATAAATATCAAGAAAACTTAGTAGAAAAGTGTGACTCAAAATAAATGCATTTTTATCTAAAAATCCTTTTATTTTTTTTCTTAAAATCTTTAGTATTAAATTATAACATTTTCCTTCTTGAGCTTACAGCCACTCTGAAGAAGTTACCTTTACAAACCTTATTTTTAAAAAGCTTTTAGATTTTATTATTCTCTTTCTCCAAAGGCAATGAATATGTTGAATTCTTAGTGTTGACCTTTTATGCAGCTTCCTAATTCTATCATATAATCAAAAATGAAATACTGTTTTGGATGCTGCATCCATAAACTGTGGCAATAACACCCCATTATGCACTTGAAAAAGAAAACGTTTGCCTACAACAACAAGCTTATGTTATCAGAATTTAAATTTGTAGGCCAAAATTGCTGAAAGCAGTACTTCCAATTTAATACAGTCCTTTCCATTGATTTGTTGTGTTAACCTCTCATTACTGGCTGACAGTTCCAACAGTGTTGCACCCTGTGGGTGTGGCCTAAAGCCAGTGAGCCTTAGGAGTGGTCCTTTCTGCATAGTATCCTTTCAAAGACTATCCTTTCATTTGTGGCTATAGCCACAGTTTACAGGGCCTGTCGCTGTATACCACAATGCCTCTCCAGCTCTTAGCCCACCAGCACCATTGCCCAGGGTCACCTCCTCCTTCCTGATGAGTGTTCTCCTGTCTGTTCGTGCCACACACTGCTCTTTCCCAGCATGCCAGAGTTAGGCAACAGCTGTTGAAGTTGGGCTCCTGTATGCCTCTGTCATCTCTGTCACTCATTCTGCTTTCAGCATGTCACTTCAGCTCATTGCTTAGAACTGCTTGGATCGCCTGCTGCAGTTCATTCGTCTTATAGGTATAGGCCATGGAGCCCTATGTTACAAAGAGAACTATAGCTGTGAGACTGACTTGTGGGGAGCTACATCCTTTTTAACCCCTTTTTTCTTTTCCAGATTAATAGGTGATAGTAATGAAGCTGCCTAGAACATTTGCAGAAGGCCCAGTTAAGGACAAAAATGTTGGCACCTTTATCACTTGCATGGGTCTGGTATTTGATGGCATCAGAATGTTAGGTTCTGAGCTAAGGTGCACAGTCTCTTGAAGAATGAGTTTTTTGTGTCTTGGAAATCTGTACATTAGTGACCAGAGTGAGAACTACTGGGATTCAGCTATCCTTGAGTTCTCTGAAGGAGTTCCTGGGGCAGGTAGTAAAATGACTCCTGTCTTCTTTCGATTCTCATGCAGTGTGTTGCTTGGGCTTGTCTTCAATGCTTTTCCCACCCCCAGAGGCTATGCAAATCAAGAAACTCCTGGATATTTTAATTAAGAACTTTTGATAATTATGATATTGTTAGACTAAAAATGTCTTAGAGGAAATGTAGTCTAATATAAAATAACTTTTTTCAGGTATCTTATACAAACTTTGACATTAAAACGGTATTTTAAAGAAAACCTTTGTCTACATGTGTCTACATGTTGGTCTTGTAACTGTTACATCTGTATTAGTAACTAACAGAACTAATGCATAATTTATTCTACTCTACCACCAGTCCACAATAGTTGCATTTCTCTCTACTTTTCATTTTTCACCTTTCTTCTATTTTGCCTCCATACTCTGTTTTTCTCTTATCCTTTGTCTTCTGTGAGGTTCGTATCAACCTTTGAGCTTGTGTAGCTCTGCTGACAAAATGCAGAGTCAAAACTGTTGTCATCCCAGGTAAAACAAGGTCCAAAATAAAAACAAAAACCAAAAACTAACAAATAAATGCATTCAACCACTTATTAACATTAGGAAAATAGGCTCACCCTATATTTTAATCAACTTTCCAGCTCAGAAGTTCTTATGAGTAGCTTATTTTTGCAAATTTTCAAAATTCTGTGATGAGTTTTAGAAATAAGTGAAAATTTATGAAATATTGAAATTTGTGAAATATTGCATAAATTC